AATTCAGAAAGCTCCAGAAATAACAATTTCTGCAAAACAGGCGTGGACATTGAGCAAACTACCGCCAGCGGACCAGATCCGGCCGGCGAGTACACACGCTCTCTCTCTCTCTCTCTCTCTCTCTCTCTCTCTCTCTCTCTCTCTCTCTCTCTCTCTCTCTCTCTCTCTTATTGCAAATGCAGTAAATATATGACATCAGGTGTACTTACTTAAAAATTAAGTGCTTGAAGTATTGTTTCAGTCTGGCCCGCGAGTCGACCCAGTAATTGATAATTGTTTATCATGAATGTGGCCCACGGTGAGATGATAATGATGAGGCTAAAATAACGAATTTTGCCGGCCATATTGGATTGCCTATGATCAGTATGATTTGACTCATTGCCAATATCACAAAACATGTATACTTTGCATACTTTTTGATAAAACAAACTGTCCACCTTGAAAATCAAAATTGATAGCTTCCGGCCCATCTGGACGCAATAGATCTACTATTTTATCTAATAACGTGCCCTAGAGTGACATAATATTATGCTACACTGTCAGTTTTAGTCTCACTTTTAATGGCTTTAATATTCTATCCGATTTCACCCAATATTTTTCTCTTCCCTTGGCACTCAAGATGTTCGGAGTCGCTTAACTCATTGAAGACACACATTCTGGTTATTCGACATGGCTTGAAGATGCACTGTTTTGTGGCATAACTTCACTGCTCATACAGCTTTTTCCAATTTCTTTCTTTATCTGAAGCCTTAAAGGTTTTGAAATTGTATACAAGCTATGAAATGATATGGAAACTTATTTTTTTCTTAATTTTGTGCGATGGTTCAAAATGTACGAACATGTTGCCTTTGCTCTGAGGCTAATAGGATTATGTGTCCGTTACGTCCTCAAAGAGTTAGGCTAGTACCGCACTACGACAGTTTGTCCTGTGACAAACCCATCTGGATTTTGAAACTTTTGAATTAGAGTGTAATGTACCGCACCTACTTTGACATTCTCTCATATATGCAACCCACCGGGTGACCTTGATACACAACTTCACAATTGACTATTAATTTTTTTATTTAATTTGCTAAAATTTACATAGTATCGCATCAAATCGATTCCCCGCGAGCCATTTTGCTTTTTTTGAAACGCTGATTCCGAATAATATGACATCAGTTTTGAGATGCTATAATTATTTTCAAAATGTTGTGCCCCCAGTTTAATCCTTCGAGGAGACACATTTTAAAGTGATTATACATCACAACGCGCAAACTCCACGATCTTGACAGCAGGCGCCACCAAGTCAGGGACAGTTTTGTCCTATTGCGGTAGGCGGCTATATTTCTCTATAATCACAGACGATATTACCCCGGGACTGGGATAGTCCTGTCCCACCGATTTTGTAGCAGTTCACAACTACTCGGGACTCAAATCGACAAGAATGTTCCGTCCCAGTAGGTGCGGTACTTTACTCTCTAATTCAAAGGTTTCAAACTCCAGACGGGTATGTCCCAGCACAAACTGTCATAGTGTGGTACTAGCCTTAGGGCCCGTGTCCACTGCGACGGACTCCAACCGACCTGATTCCGTCCGTCTCTTGGAAAGTCAGTAGTTGAAATTGAGCACCGTTTGTTTACGAAGAAATCAGAGAAACGTCCGTTTGGCTGTGTCAACAGACACGACACGACACGCCCCGACAAAAGACGTGTAGGTTGGAAAAATGCGTGTTCAATTTTAGCCGGGCTGGGTCGTGACTCGGGAACGATAGGGCCCGCCGGAGCTAAAAAAAAAAAAAAAGTCTAATTTTGAGTGCAGATTGAAATCATGTCATATTTGTAATCAGCGCTTCAAAATTAGCAAGGTGTACTCGCAAACCACCTGTTTTAAATGTATATTAACAATTTTATCAATTTCCCTTTAAAAACCCATTCATTTCTTATTTCCGCCTTGGGTTCATTGACCTCGACTATTTATAGCCCTGTATCGAGGACACAGCCTTGGGACACAGTGTGTGGAATAATACAGCCAGTAGGCCAAACGTCTAGACGTGTTTTGTCCGAACTGATGGACACACAAGACGGAAACGACCGGACCGATTTTCTCCTTCCCGACAAAAGATCGGGCCGTGTCCGTCTCAGTGGACCCGTAGGGTAAGGTTAGTACCGCACTACGACAGTTTATCCTGGGACAGACCCGTCACGATTTTGAAACCTTTGAATTAGAGTGCAATGTACCACACCTACTGGGACGTGACATTCTTGTCGATTTGAGTACCGAGCATTTGTGAATAGCTACAATCGTTACGTGTAACCTGGCCTTAACATTATCTAACCTACTGGTACGGAACATCCTTGTCGATTTGAGTCCCGAGCAGTTGTGAATTGCCACAAAATCGGCGGGACAGGACTATACCAGTCTCGGGGTAATATCGCCTGTGATTATAGAGAAATATAGCCGCCTACCGCATTAGGACAAAACTGTCCTAGACTTGGTGGCGCCTGCTGTCAAGATCGCGGAGTTGGCGCGTATAATCACTTTAAAGTTTGCCTCCGCGAGTGATTAAACTTGGGACACAAAATGTTAAAAATAATTATAGCATCTCAAAACGGATTTCATATTCGGAATCAGCGTTTCAAAATAAGTAAGAATTGCTCGCGAGGAACCTGATTTGATGACTATGTAAATTTTAGCAAATAATTGTATTTTTTTAATGAATCGTCAATGGTGAAGTTGTGTATCAAGGTCTCTACTTTATTGTCAGCTGCAGTCGCTCGGTTGTTTCTAAACAGTTTATTCTCTTCAAACTGGTAGTTGTCTTTAATTGGATAGAAAGCTTTATTTATACAGTGAAAAGTAAACCATGTTTGTACAACAAGGCTGATGTTGGCTATTGCAATCGAGACATAAAAGACAAGATATGCAATCTAGATCTAGGCCTAGTACCAAAAATGTAATTTAACTTCGTAATCGCGTATGAAATTTCGTCTTTCGCGTGATTTTTGCTAATTTTGGTCGCTGATCACATCTTTTTTATAATTTGGACAATATTTAGGAAATTTTTGGAATTCATTTTTAACTCCGCTTTGGGCAACAAAAAAGAAGCTGCGCAATGCGTCGGATCAGTCCTGGTGCGGTATCTGTTTTGACATGTAAAAATTCGACGGTGAGACAGGACAATCCTGTTCGAGACAAGAATGTCGTATTTCGGTACTAGCCTTACGACATTCTTGTTTCGGACAGGATTGTCCTATCTCACTGTCGAATTTGTGCATGTCAAAAGAGATACCGCATTAGGACAGGGCTGATCCGGCTTTTTTTTTGTTGTTGCCCTCAGCGGAGTTAAAAACGCATTCCAAAAATTTCCTAAATATTGTCCAAATAAAAAAAATAATAAGATTTTCGTGATCAGCGACCCAAAATTAGCAAAATTCAAGCGGGGAACGCAATTTATTTATGTGTGTGTGTGTGTGTGTGTGTGTGTGTGTGTGTGTGTGTGTGTGTGTGTGTGTGTGTGTGTGTGTGTTTCACCGGGTGACCTTGATACTCAACTTCATCATTGACGATCAATTTAAAAATAAAATAATTTGCTAAAATTTACATATTATTAATTTATCATTATCGCATCAAATCAGGTTCCTCGCGAGCCATTTTGCTTATTTTGAGACGCTGATTCCGAATATGACATCAGTTTCAAGATGCTATAATTATTTTCAAAAATTTTGTGTCCCAAGTTTAATCCTTCGCGGAGACACATTTTAAAGTGATTATACATCACAACGTACAAGCTCCACGATCTTGACAGCAGGCGCCACTAAGTCTGGGACAGTTTTGTCCTTATGCGGTTGGCGGCTATATTTCTCTATAATCACAGACGATATTAACCAAGGACTGGGATAGTCCTGTCCCACCGATTTTGTTGCAATTCACAACTGCTCGTGACTCAAATCGACAAGGATGTTCCGTCCCAGTAGGTCAGATAATGTTAAGGCCAGGTTACACGTAACAATAAATTGTACAAAAACTGGACGATCTTGCGATCATACGATAAATCGTCAGGTGTAACCATAAAATTGTACAAAATTTGGACGATTGGACGATGCTTTGGAGACTCGGTCGAGAAATCAAGCGCTGCTTGATATTTTTCGTGCGATTACGGCCAGATTTTGGGGAGACACGCTGTGACGTAGATTCACTTTGAAGTTTGCCGCCGCGCAGAACTAAATTCACGGCTCAAATTTTTAAAAATAATTATCGTAGGTAAAACTTGATTTATATTTGGAATCAGCGTCTCAAAATAAGCAAAGTTGCTCCCGAAGAACCTGATTTGGGGCGTTGATATATATCTTTTAGCAATTTTATTATTTAGTTGATCGTCAAGGTTGAAGCTGTGCATCAAGGTCACTCGGTGCGTTGCACATCTACAGTCAAGTCATAGCTTCCAGTTCTACACACGGCACGGTTGGCCAACAGTAACACTACAGTATGGCCACATTCTTCTAAAGACACTGTTCTGCTAATCAAAATGCACAGGGGAAAGGTGGGGGGGGGGCTCTCGTGATCTTCATGTACAGTGTTCGCCATTCATTCATTAGGTCCAGAGCTCGAAACCTTCATATAGAGACCAGGCAAATCGTTGTCGTCGTAAAGAGACATGTTGGCTTTATGACGAGGAGTCTCCTCAATCGAAAGAAAATGGACGATGGATTGGAACGTGTAAACAGACAACACAGTTCCATAAAACGGACACTTCTCTCATGCGACGAATCTCACACTATTTATCGTTGCGTGTAACCGGGGCTTAAATCTAGCCCACAATTTGGACACGCTCCCCATGCTGGCTGTACAGTGTTCAAGATACTGAACGTAGAGTGAGCACCATTAATCGCTCGCTGGGGAAACAAAAATGTCGGTCGTGATAAGCTTATGAGTTCATTTGTTTACATTACCAAAGTACATACGTACTGTATCATGCGCAATTTAACTTATTATGTTTCTATCTGACGGGAGTGTTGTTTTTTCGTCGCAGAGCTTTCACCATGTCCGTTTCTGTTTTTGATACACCTATGTCTTCTTGGTATTGGAAGCAGAAAGGCGAATGTGTTACAAAAGAGCGTGTCATTGGCATCAATCTGCGGTACATGGCGGTATGTGGCTATTTTCTCCTGTGGGTCATAATACCTGGATACCTGGAGGTATCTTCTCTGACTCAGAGGTTGACGTGTAATAACCGTCAATCTTTCATGGCAGCGAGCTGCCATTGCACATTCTGCAATATCCAGGCCAGTCCATGTTCTTATGTTGTTCTTCCATGTAATTCTTTGCCTTCCTCTGGCTCTCCTGTCGCACGTCTTTCCTTCAAGCACCTCTTTCACAATGGCCTCGTGTCGTTTTAAGTGGCAATATTATTGTATTTTTCAACATTGTATTTTGTTCAGCTGGGTTTGTCTTGTGTGTAGAATCTGACACACCTATGTGTTTGTCTTTTTTGGTTTCCAACTTATTTTGGCCATTCTACGGTAGCACCACATTTCAAACGTATTTATTTTGCTTTCCTCTTTCCTCGTCAAAGTCTAGATCTAGGTCTATGCGCCATATAGGAATAATATGAGGAAGATGTACCATTTTCTTTTTTAAAGTGAGAGATAGTTTGTACGTTTGGCTGAATCTTGATTTTGCAGCTGCTGTTCCTATGTTCATTTCTTTTTATAATAATAATAATAATAATAATAATAATAATAATAATAATAATAATAATAATAATAATAATAATAATGATAATAATAATAATAATAATTGCATTTATATAGCGCATATCCATGCTCAAGAGCATGCTGTATGCGCCTTACAACTATTATTACCCCAGCAGACCCTCTGAGAACACTCAGAAACATTCTCAGCTTCGGCGGAAGCATACAGTGCAAGCTGCGGATTTCACGCGCTCAAACACTATCAGACTGACAAGATCTTTCACTGTCTATAGCCGGGTACCCATTTTCACTTCTTTCACCATCTGTGATTGTTGCCCCTAGACCTAGATACTTGAAATGGTGCACTTGTTCGATTCTCTTCCCATCTATGGTTATGTCTGTTGTTTTTTCGAGAAGTTTTTGTTTTCTTTGCGTTTATGTCGGGGCCTGCCTTGCTGCTGTTCACTTTTACTACTTTCCCAATTTTAGAAAGATATTCGTTTGTGTTTGCAAACAGAACTGTATCATCTGCGTATCTCAGGTTATTGATGTTGCTGCCCCCAACAGTGACTTCCTACAGGTTATGAGATTCTCTAAATATTAACTCTGTATAGATGTTAAAAAGATGGGGGGGGGGGAAGAGGACTCAACCTCTGTATTATAATATAATGTGTTTGTATGTATGTATGTATAGTATAAGGTTTTACGGCGCTCGCAACTGCTAATATAATGTGTTTATTGAGACAGAATGAATTCGTCATGCACGCAAAGTGCGCATGTTTGCACACGTGTATGTGTGTGAGTGTGTGTGTGTGTGTGTGTGTGTGTGTGTGTGTGTGTGTGTGTGTGTGTGCGTGTGTGTGTGCGTGTGCATGTGTGTGTGAGAGAGAGAGAGAGAGAGAGAGAGAGAGAGAGAGAGAGAGGGAGAGAGAGAGAGAGAGAGGGGGGGTAAATCTCGTAGGATAGAGAAAGTGGGATGAAGAGAGTGGGTGAGGTGGTGGGATGGAGAGATCGATAGAGAGAGAGACAGAGAGAGAGAGACAGGGAGAGAGAGAGATAGAGAGAAAGAGAGAAAGAGAGAGAGAGAGAGAGAGAGAGAGAGAGAGAGAGGGAGAGAGAGAGAGAGAGAGGGGGGGTAAATCTCGTAGGATAGAGAAAGTGGGATGAAGAGAGTGGGTGAGGTGGTGGGATGGAGAGATCGATAGAGAGAGAGACAGAGAGAGAGAGACAGGGAGAGAGAGAGATAGAGAGAAAGAGAGAAAGAGAGAGAGAGAGAGAGAGAGAGAGAGAGAGAGAGGGAGAGAGAGAGAGAGAGAGAGATCGGAGGAGTGCACATAATGTCTGCAAAGAGGAGGGATGGGTTGATGAATGGATGGGTGAAAACTGTTTTGCTTTTCAATTTTATGCTGGTAGTAATTGCGACGTGGCAACGACTGTCCCTTTCATTGAGAAGGTGTAAAACCCTGTTCATCAGTCGCTAGTCCTCGGTTTGAACAGGAGCTGTGAAGAATTTGGTTTGCGTTGTTTGTCTGTGTGTGTGGGGGGGGGGGGTAAGTTGGTCAGAAATGCTGACATACACCTTTTAAAAAAGAACTTACATTTATATTCACATTCTGGAACATGCCTGGTCTTCTTATAATTGTTTTATTACTATTTGTTTTATGTAGCGTTTTATATCAGGATACGGGCACACAAAGTACACAATAGAACGAATTCGGTCTCGGCTCATGCTTGAAACATATTATTTTCATTATGCATGACAAGCGAAACGTTGGTGGATGGCAGATGCTCTGGTGTGGCTTGTTCCTTCTTTCCTATCAAACATCTATCGTCCTGATCTCTCCTCCTTATTGTGTTTGTTACTCTCTTGTAACACCTCTAATCTTCGGCCCTCATAAGACCGTATTGTGTTGCAAGTGCCGTAAAACGCTTACTAAAAAACTAAAGACAAGCGAAATCTTTTCTATTTCAGGTTGCTGTTTTCTTTAATTTCCCTACTATTGGAGGGGGGGGGGGTGCAGTTTTATAATAATTCTGGGCAGAGCCCCAAGGTTTGAATTATTGTTTTGGAGTCCCACAACATCTGCGAGTGCACCTAACATTAAAATAATAAATGGTCATTTGTGCTGATGCTTTGGCGGGCCCCTGGGCTTCAGAATATTCAGTCTCTATGGACGGACAATGCTAAAACAAAACAGAAATTCGGGGAACAAGGCAGGCTGCAGGTGACTTCAAAGAACCAACCTGCAAAAAATTAACCGAAATAACCTGCAAAAAATTGACCGAAATAACCTGTGTGCATTCATACTGAATGACGTGTTGAAGTTATTCTCTACTTTTCAGTCGACGTTCTATACGATCTAACTTGTGTCGATGCAGGTGTATTAAAAGAATACAGTACTCTGTAATCAAAGTGCTATGAAATGAAAGAGACGATCAGAGGCCAACTGGATTAATAAGCAGCAACAAATCCGATTGTTAACAACAATGACTTTAACCTTACGAGACACGCTGTGCAGTAACTGAACGATGAGGTTTACAATTTTTCTTTGAACTTTGCCCTAAGGGAATAATATGTGACAAGTTTTCGGTAATAAGAAAGAGCCAATTCTGCATTAACTACCTCTTTTTGATCATGCTCCCTTACAAAAAAAAGTTTCGTCGGCTGGCTGTTGAGATATCCCCACACCCAAGATTCTTTTTGTTTAATTTTATTGTAGTTTCTAAACCTATGATATTGCTTCCATGAGGTCAAGAAATATTAAAATTTGTCAAAATTCAAATTCTAAATGTTGAAAAAGGCACACACACACAAATTGTAAGATATATAAAGTAGGCACACTTATTACATGAATGAAAGAAATTTTTTTCCTCTGTCTTGAAAAATTATGCCTCAGTGTGTGTGTGTGTGTGTGTGTGTGTGTGTGTGTGTGTGTGTGTGTGTGTGTGTCTGTGTGTGTGTGCGTGCGTGTGTGTGTGTGTTTGTTTGTGTTTTCCACCAGCGTCTGTGGTGCAGCACTTTAGCCTATCCGTCGCACACAGGAGACCCGAATTTGTTTCCCGAGAATAGAGAATTTGTATCAAGTATATTAGTCTTTTTGCCGGGATGGTGTATCCCTCTGAATCTGGGTTGGTCCTGACAGGCAAGGCCGAAGTCCTCCCACTAAATTATCAACATTGTTTTGATGAAGGCGTAAAAACACATACATTATAATTTTTAAAATGTTTTTAACGCCTCAAAATATCGTGTCACTGCGTGTAATTTGAGTACCCGATTGTGTGGTCCTAACAATGAGCTCATTAACATCCCATACAGCAGCCGCAGTCCACCATACCGCAATGAGATTCAGCTTGGTGCGGGCTCAAGAACTGTCCAATTTGCAACCAAAAGGAAAACAATAGAGTATAACTAGTACAAGCAGCAATCTGAAACACCGACCCTTGGTGATATATCACGGTACATGTGGTCGTAGCGATTAAGGGCTGCAGGCCCGGCTTCCGCGAAGTCATGAAAGGGCTATCATCGTTATTAAATGCATACAAAAGATAAAATGATTCCTCCAAAATATTCCAGAGTCAGTAAACTTGATGTTTTGTTTTTGTTTTGTTTTGGGTTGTTTTTATTTTTTTTTGGGGGGGGGGGGTTGCTGCTTTTTGTAAGTGTACGCAACTGCATTAGGTCTTATGAGAGCGCGCGGGACATATTAATTGAACATTTTAGTTGGTATGAAATTTTGAAGTTTGCCCGGGTGGCGGCCGAAGCCTACTTTTATGAATGGAGTTCGATCTCGCGTATCGGCGTAATTAATTGATTTGATGTTTTTAGCTTTCAGCTGGGGTGGGGTGGGGGAGGGCTTAATCCCAACCAACAATCCGGGTAAGGCCACCCGCTTCTTGAAGTTCTAAACTGTGTTGCTGGGTGCATGCCTATGGCCTCTGAATTAACAAAAACGACAGCAACTTCATTTAATAGAACTACATTGTACAGCCGAATCTGCTCTTATGACCACCTGTTCAAGACAATCACCTGTGCCACTTCCCACTTCCCTTCTTGTTTCTGTAAATTACGCTTCCCAAAAGAATTATCTGTCTATAATGACCACTTTCTCCATGACAAGGGTGGTCACCTTTAACAGGTTTCAAATGTACTCTCGCAACTTAGTAAAATGCTGCCTACAAAGACAGCTGATAGACTAAGCTACTTGAAATAACAAGAGAAATCCGTTTCGTATGATATACATGTGCTTCAAAACATTGGCAATCCCCACTCCGTGCCACAAAAGTCCATTGGCTGGAAAGAAATCGTCGACAAGTTAGTGTCGGAGTAAAGAAAGGAAACGGGAAGAAAGCACCGTAGACTCTGTTCAAAACGACCATTCATCCCCGGGGAGAAAAGCGGTCATCTTTGACAGATGATCCTCATGGGCAGTATCATTAAATATAGGAAAACACTGTGG